TCATACCAGAAAAATCTACAAAAAGAAGGAATAAGAAATTTCCATCCCCTAGTGGAATAAGAGCTTCACAAGGTCAACTCACATCAACATTAATTAAGGAGCCAAGACTCCATCCCTAGAAAAGAAAAAAATCAAAGTCAGATCCCTAGGAAATCAACTAATTCCCTGGTGTATCACCAAAAAGAAAAAACTTCATCCCTAGCGGATACCCAAAAAGAAGAAAGAAGCCTGCATGCATAAAAAGAAATTAAAAAGTAGAAAGGCACACACATTACCCAAAAAGAAGCCAAATTTCAAATTCGCGAGAAAAAAGAAATAAAATCGCGAGAAAAAGGTGAAATCAAATAAAAATCTTAATATTTAGGTAAACAAAATTTCCAGCGGAATAAGAGCATCGACAAAGTCCGCTCATACAAAAAACAAACAAGGAGTAAAAAAACTCTATCCTCCCAGGGGGCAAATCAACATTAGATCCCTAGGAAGGTAATCAATCCCTTGGTGGATCGTCAAAAAGAGAAAACTTACCCCTAGTGAGCCTACTGCAAAGGCAATCTTCAAATTCATATCCTCAGAGAGTCACTTGCTTATGCATAGGCAAAACCTGGAAAGCGAGAGCCAACATCCCCGAAGGGAATATCATCCTAGTCAGAGGCAAAACAATACAGCCAAAAGTCTTCATTTCCAATGAAGCATATACCTACTCAGAGGCATTACCAAAACCTCAATGAACTATCTACCTACTCATAGGCACCATCAAAATCAACAAATCCTCAATGGATATCTGCCTACTCAAGAGGCATCGCCAAAATCAACGAATCTCCAATGGATCCCTGCCTACATTAGAGGCAATTATCAAGAATCCTTGACAACCAACAAAGTCGGACGACTATTAGAAAGGACAAAAAAGAATCTCCAGCAAACCAATAAGTTGGATGACTATAAAAAAAAGCCAAAAACCAAAATCCCTGGTACACCGGATGACCACAGAAAAGCCAAAACACAATACCTCAAAGCACTAAAACTACTCCCCATGGAGTCGGCGCATGAGCAAGAGCAGTAAGCTGCCACCACTTTCTTTGTCTAAAGGGGGCATCCAGAAGACAGAGTTTTGTATACATCAGTCGAAGGGTCAGCCACCTCGTCGAAGGAGCATCCAAAGGTAGAGCCTTTCAAAGAAGACTCATACCCGATGGGGGGTTCATACCCATCAAACTACATACATCATCCGAAGGATCAGCTCCGTTACAAAGGAGTATCCTGAAGACAATATCTTCACATCCACCGTCAGAAGGATCAGCTCCGCAACAAAGGGGTATCCTGATAGCAGGACTTACATACATCGTCCGAAGGATCAACTCCGTTGCAAAAGAGTATCCCTAAGACAATATCTTCATATCCACCATCAATAGGATCAGCTCCGCAGCAAAGGAGTATCCTGATGGCAGGACTTACATACCATCGTCTGAAGGGTCAGCCCCCATAACAAGGGAGCATCCTGAAGATAGTATTTACATACCTACGTTTGAAGGGTCATCTTTAGTAGCAAGGAAGCATCATGAAGACAACATCAGATTGCATTCATCGTCCACAGGGTTGGCTACCACGTCAAGAGGATCATCTGAAAGACAACCGGGCAAGAGGGTTAACTCCTTCACTCGCCAATCGATCTTACGGCACATTAGCCCATAGTCAATTGGTCGGGTAAAAGGGGGACAGTTGTAGACCCCAAATTTTGCTCGGCTTCATAATAAAGCCACAAATCCTTTATTCGAAGATGGACAAGGCTTCATTGGGCCCTTAGTCATGTTCACTAGGCTTTAGGTAAGGATAGGAGGACTTTCTGTACGCAAAAAATAAGAAAAAATAAAGGAAATTCTGTCAGAGGCTCAGGACAGTCGTCCCACTTTCCCAGACGGGCGTCCCATTTTTCCTTAAGTCCGAGATGACCATCTCGAAATCCCAGACGGTCGTCCCACTTCTTTAACCTTTGGGACGATTGTCCCACTTTTCCAGACGACCGTCCCACTTTTCTTTGAGCCCAAGACGACCGTCTCAAAATCCCAGATGGTCGTCCCAACTATCAGAAGTCCAGACGGTCATCCCGACTTGTCTGGTGTGATTACCTATAAATAGGAGCCTCCCCTCCCCTCATTTCACACACTCTCACACCTTTCTCTCATCCTAGAAGCTCTCGTAAGACTTCGGGATAACTCTGAACACTTTCTAGAGTTCGAGTAAGCTTTCCGATTTTAGTTTAAAGTAGAAATCGGTTAAGGAAGTCTTCTTGTGTGACATTCGACACTCGGTGGGGAGGTATTTTCTCTTTTGTTGGTGAGGAGCGTGCTTGTAGAGCGAGAGGATTGTCAAAAAACATCCTCAAGTTTGAAGAGTTAATAGAAAGCTCGCTTCGGAGGTTCCTTTCTCTATTCTCTCTTTTGTACTGCTTTCTTTTACTGATTTCCTTGTAAGGTTGGGGGGAGGGTACTTTCAAAAATCGAGGTGAGCCATAATTGAATAAACAAAATAGGACCTAAAAAATTCCCCGAGGCCCTAGGGGCGTTCAAAATATCGACGGCCTCATCGAAAGCAGTATAAAAATGGGCCAATAATAACTTGGCTAAATTAATTTGTGGTTGGCCAGTGTGGAGAATATAGGCGAGGTTATAGAGGTGGGATGTAATTTGGATGGATCGGGGGCAGAAGACGTGGGTGCATAACCAGTATACCAAGAAGGCCACGTGCTCTTCATCAGAAACAGCCACTATTGAGTCATCAATGAAATGTTTCTCGAGAAAATGCCCATAGGCTTTCGATTCCCAATTGATTTTGGACCTTAAGGAATTGTCCGAAGAAAAAGCACCTTTAAAATATTTTTCTCCTATGGGTTTTAGCCCGGTAATAGCAGCAATTTCAAAAAGAGTGGGCGAAAAAGGGCCACAAGATAGTTCCAAAGCATGCAAGTCCTTATTCCATAAATGAATAGCAGATAAAAACATGGACATATCCAAGAAGGACAGGTCACACTAAGACAAATGAAGAAAATCGAAAATTCCTACAGCCCTCCAATGGTTCCCAAACTTAGCCTTAATTCGATCAAACCATTTCATGTACGAGGGTTTTTTGTGAGGTGGGCCCGTTCGATATGCCTTGGACGCAATGTGCAGAAAATCTATTCGAACCTCAGGCTGATGGACAAGAACTTTACTCTCTGAAGGAAGGCTGAGAGAAGAAGAAAATGATCCGCCACAATAGCGGATAGGACCTCCGAAAGCGTAATTAATATTATCAGCAGTATAGGGAATGAGTACCTGCGTCTCAGCGATTTTCTGAGAAGCTTCCTCCATCAGAGGAACTGGAGCGAATTTCTGGTTATTGATCTCCAATAGGTTGGTGGCCACCGAAGGAAGTGGTGGGGTGGAAAGGTCAGAGGATTTGGATGAGGTTGTCATTCCAGTAATCGGTAGAGCAGATGAGGACAAAGGTAGAAGACGAAGGTGCAGGGGAGAAGACGAAGATGCAAAGGAGGAGTAAATGAAGTGCGTAGTGAAAAACAAGGGTAAAAATGTTAACAAATGTTTAAAGGAAACTTTCTAGGATATTGGAAGCGACGGAGGTGAATGATAATTAATGTGGCGTGTGCAGTGAGGCGGCAGAACTGACATGATAGGTGACATAAAGTGGAAAGAACCCTAAAACCCCAGCAACCCTAAACCCTAAGTTCTGATGGGCCTCCAAAAGGCGGGAATGATGTTGAAAGAATATAAATACAAACTTTTATATTCTTCCAAGGGGGCATTCTGTTAAAGGGAAATCGATTAAGGGATCGAAAAAATGAAGGAAAGGAAAAATCAAAGACCATACGATTGGTAAAAGACATCGAGAACGTATTTTCGATGAAATTGGTAAAAGCTGGTAACCACGAAGATGAAAGTACATCGAGAATCAAAATCGAGAATCGAAGAAACAAATTTCGATGCCTATTGTTGAAGTTAGAATAGTACAAAATTAAAGGGAATCAAAAGCAAAATTTAAGATACTCGATGTCTGAAATCGAGATCGAGGGAGCAGTTAACACACATAGGGAACGTGGGAAACAGTTTCTAAACCGCAACAAAGATCGAAGGAGGAGCAGTTCTCTTATACGTAAGAACGTGGAGTGCAGTTTCTAAAACTGTAAAACTAAAGGAACGGGTACGTAGGATCGTGGGGATAGTGGTATTAACCACTCTTGGGAGGTTACTTCAAAGATGCTCTATAAATAGAGCGAAGACTGAAAAGGAGAGGGGAATTGGCAGAGAGAACAGAAATACTAGTGAGAAGTCTACAGGAGAACGACACAATCATGAAGTTTCTGGCGATCTCATTTTCATTGACTGCCTTTATCGCTTTCTTTACTTTCCCTGGTAATTTATGTTCATGTTATTTACTTTGATGCAGTTTATGTTCAAACAACTTTAAGTTCATGTACTTTCGATTCCTTGTTATCTGACTATTTAAGATTATGCATCTAAGTTTTTCGCTGTTTACACTTTATGCAATCTCGATTTCCTGCTATTTACATTTATGCAATCTCAATTTCCTGCTATTTACATTTATGCAATCTCGATTTCCTGCCATTTACATTCCCGCAATTTCGATTCTTTGTCGTTTACATTTAATGCAAATTTAAGGTTTCCGTATTTTATATCTCTTCGAGCTTTATATTTTGTATTGCTCTTCGATTTGACATTTTATCGTTTTCTTTACTTCGAGTGCTTTAAATACAAAATCCCAAAAAAAACAAGCATTTTCGATTATTAATCTGCACATTAGGTTGCGTTGTTAGTATTTTCAAACATCATGATTTTCGATCCTCATACACATTTCGATTGAAAATCGTTTGCTAGCCTAAGTAAAAAGAATTTACGTGGTTGGAATTTGGTTAGAACAAAATCCGTTAAAAATCGAAATCGATCAAAATTCCACCAAAAACACTATGAAAAGGTGCGCGTAGAGACCTAATGGAGGAAAGGGAACAACCAGTTGTGGAGAAGGAACAATCAGTGGTGGAGAAGGAACAAGAAAACAAAATAAAGGTGTGAGAATCATGTCTCATTATTAGTATTTTTCATATATTGAATAAGGTCAACCCGTCCCTAAATAGGTTGAACAAATGTGTAAGAGAATAAAAATTTCTACAGATAAAATATCTTAAATTTTTTTTAATCAATTTAATTTTTTCAATCTTTTTAATAATATAAATACAAATTTATTTTTTTATCTTTTTTAAATATTCTTTATCAATCTCATCATACTTACTATAATTTTATTTTTAATTTATCTTTATTAAGATTTGTTATTATATTTTCTAGATTTAATTTATTAAATTTTATCTTAATTAAATAATTATATTTTAAAAAATTAATAAACATTAATTATTAAAACTTTTATTATTTTATACTAACTAATATTTATTAGCATTTTAAAATGATAATTTAAAAAATAATAATAATGTCATAAATATTTTATATTTATATAAAGAAAAATATTAAATATTTGTTATATATATATATTAATATAAATGTAATAAATTAAAAAATATATTTAATGAATAATAATATTTAAATGTTATAAAATTATAAATATTTATTAATTATAAAAATAAGATAAAAAAAATTAAATTTAATTTATTGTAGATATAATTATTTTAAAATAATAATATAAAACAGAAACAGATTAAGATAGAAAAAATTTAATAAAAACGAATAGTAAAACTTAATTTTTCTAACATTTATAAAACACTAAGATAATTAAGAAAGTTGTGACAAAAAACCCACCCCCATGGGCCCGATCTGTTCCATAATTTGAATTTGATATATCGTGCTAAATTGTCTCTCCCGTTCTTTTCATTATTTCATACGGGTAAAGAAATAAGTTCAAAGGATATATTGGGGTTTATGTAATAACTCGTAATTCCCTTAATTTCCTAAAACCCTAACTTGATCACTCGTAAAGATCTCATCTCATTTTTCTCTGCCTGCGAATTGCGTACACCACCCACGCCCACGGTGCCTCCCTCTCATCTCATTCCTCACGCTCCTCCTGCCATCTCCTCGTCCTGTCTCCCTCGCGACCCGTCCTGCCTCCCTTGCGCCCCCGCATGTGAAGACGCATTCACGCTGCCGCCGTGAACGCCGCCCTCCCTTCCTATTCAAGTCATCTCTGCCGTAGCAGGTTGGTATTTCAACGTTCCAAATTTAAGTGAAGCGTAGTTAAATGTTGGTCCCTCCCTGTTTTGTTTGTCAGATAAACTTTGGTCTTGTAATTGATTTTATATTTGTTCAAATTCAATCCCTTACCTTCCGTTTATAGCATTGATATTAACATTGATATCAACATTGGTATCTTCCTCCAGAGCCAAACTAGAGTTTAGACAGTTAAAGCAATGTTGTTTTAATAATGTAACTATCAACTTGAATGCCTCATACCCGTGAGAGAGGATTTGGTGTTCAAGTTGACACAGCATTTTGGTATGGCCGATTCCTCCTTTTGGAATGGTAAAGCCATTTGATTGACAATCACTAATGCAGAGTAGGTTACTAGATGAATCAATAATCCACTAATTAAACAGTAATTTTATAATTTATAATAAATTAAATGAAAATCTTCCAATGAATTTAATCAAAATCCAAAGTCTATTCATAATCAAGTGTCTTATATAAGTTTGTTTAACAGGGATATCTAACTTTTTTTTTTTTAATATTTCATTTTTATTTTTAAATGAAATTTGAATATTTTTCAAAAAGATTATCAACAATTATAAATATTCTTATATCATAATATTGGTTATTTGTTATAAATCTAAAAAATATAATGTATATACATTTAAAAGTATTTATTGTTACAAATTGGAATTATAATACATTTAATTATATATGAAAATATATTTATTTGTTAGAAATTTGGTTATATAAATAAATATTGAGTGAAAGAATAAGGATTCTTCGTCCTGATTCATTGTTCCAATGTCCCAATTGCCCTAGTCGGCCCCAACAACAACCCCCAGTTACTCTTCCCGCCCAAACCTCTGCTTCCACATTCTTTCTCAATCCAACTACCTTTACATCCCTAAGGTACTGCATTTATTTATCAATCAATAACAAAAACCTGCATACTGGATTCATAGTTTACGGATTAACCATAATATTGTTGATTCACAGGGTGAGTATTAATTGTCATGAAGGTAAAGAAGGCTAAAAGTGACGCACATACTAAGGAAAAGAAGAGGAAAAGGAACAGGAAACAAAATGCTGAAGTTGAGACGCATGCTACTGTGGAGAGCGTTGAAGGTAAATGCGCGTTGTTTTCATAATCATCACCTTTTTGTTCATCTGTATCTGATGTACAGTGTTTGTTTCAGTGGACAATGGAATACATGCTAGTGACGCAAAGGAGAAGGCTTCTATAAACAAAAAAGGGAAGAACAAGGACAAAAGTCTAGCTAGGAAACCAAAACCAAAACCAAAGGAAGAAGTTGATTTGGACGAGAAAAGTGGTGAGTTGGAAGTTATGTTTGGGATCTGGGTTTGTGTCGGAATCTGAACAAGAATATATTTTAGTTTTAGTAGTCATCGAACAACTGCTCATACTTCTATAATACTATATTGTGTTAATTTTCTTTTGCTGGCATTGTTAACCCGGTTCTGGCATCTAGTGTAAACATCTTTTTATAAAACTTAAGTTAACTATGTCACCCTGGTCATGTTCAACATCTTTGTTGAAATGGTAACAGATGGAGTAGTAGACCATTGTCATTCTAATGCTGAGGAGATCCAAGACTTTCATGGGCATAGAGATTCTGATACTGGGGCAGTTATCAAACCCTGTAATAAAATACATTTTCTATTTTAATTCTTTTGTTTTAATGTAATGTTTGAATTTATACATTTGTACCCCTCATGAAATTTTTGTCAATCTTGTAGGTAGGTCAAAGAAAGATAAGAAAAAACGGAAAAAGGAGTTTCAAAATTCCCTGGAAAAGGGAGAAGGGAACAACAAGCAGGAGGAAGTTTATACAATTTCCTCTGGAGATGATGACTGCTCTAAAGGAATGAAAAGTATGATGAGCATATATTTTGTAATGTCAAAAATGATGTCATAGTTACTGTATTGTGTTGCAAGTCCATTTAAATGTATTTTGGTTCTATTTGTTATAGTAATTGCCATATTTCCGGATTTTTATGTTAATTTAATTTTCATCTGTATATCTCTCATCATTTGCCATCACCCAACGCTATCTTCTATGTGTGAAAATTTAGAGGTGTCTTTTAACATTATTCTTTCAATCTGTTAGCTGAATGATGCATGCACCTTCATATTTTGTCTATATTTGTAACCTATTTACTATTAATGATTGTATCTAGTATAGTTTCTGACTGGGTACCTCTCAAATTACAGAATGGATCATGGAATACCATCACAACAGACCAGGATTGGATGCATTGCAACACCAAATTGATGAATTTATAACTGCTCATGAAGAGAAACTGGAAGAGGTAAATGTTTTGACAAACATGCATAAAATGATAACAGAATGATTAGACACTCTTGTCATATTAACTGCCGCTTCATTAGATAGACCTTTTTCTTCAGGCAAATTCACGAACCAATTTGGATGCTCATGTTGTTACATAAAACCATTTCTTTAAATTTTGGTTATTTATGCTGTTTTGTTGCTAAATGGAAGTGTCAGTGAACGTTTTCCTTTGGGCATGATTTTTGTTTATGTGATATAATATTGATGTTTCCTAATATCTTATTCAATTGGAGCTTCATTCCATGCCTTTGAAAAATAACTATAAGTCCTTCATTTCCCAAAAGGGCTTTAACATATCAATCCCAGTTATAGTTGTCTCTTTTTTACTGTTGTGTTGCCTCCATGTGTTGTGTACTGGGTGATGTTTTCACTTTATGCAGCTTGTATTTTTTGAGAATGGTATCTGGTCCTAGAAGGGTGTTAAGATACTGAGTTATTCCCATTTGTACTTTGTGGAGTTTACTCAAAGATGATTTGTTGTAGTTCTCCCAACTTGCAACTTTAAAGGCATATGAAGAATAAAAGTTCATATGAATAATTTAAAGAATAGAATTTTTGAGTTCTAGTCCTGGTTGAATCGATAAAAATTGCAATAGGATAGTTGAAAGGATAAACAAGACTCTTAGATTTCAGAAAATTAATTTGGTATTATGCTAGATAGGTCAACTGTGGAAATAATATACCTTTTAAGAGTATTATTGGATACATACCGAAAGAAACAAATAGGAAGACCTTTGGTTTTGATGAATTGAAAAAGGCCTTTCATGCTAAGAGAAGTCTAGCCGTAGAGAAGAAAAGAGTTTGTATTTCTTATAAGCAAGTAATCAAACTTATTTATGCTGGGGGTTACCATATAGTGGGGTAATTGAGGATTTCCTTATAACTATAGGTTTACACCAAGGGTCTACTTTGAGTCTTTATCCTTTTATCTTGTTTTTGGATATGCTTACTGAACATATTCCATAGTTAATGCTACAATGTATTTGTTAGGATATTAGGAGAACGAGAAGTTTTTAAAGATAGAATATCAATGGGTTAGTTAGTTTGTTAGAGGGGTTAATTAGATATAATTTATAAAATGGGGGAAGGATAGGAGAGATTCAGATTTGTTATTATTGTAAATGAGCATTGACTCTTTGCGGAAGGATCCTTGTAAAAGAGCTAATGCTCAATTTATAGTAACAACAAATCTGATTAAGCCATTGATATCCCTACAGTATTCTTTTTACAAATAGTTTAATAATAGTATGCAAATGGAGATCAATTAATGGTAACTAGTGTAGTGGAGAAAACCTTTGGATGCACATTTCTGATTAAGCATGAACAAAATGAAGCATGTTGGATGTAACACTAATTCTAGTTTAGAGGTGAAAATTGGGGACCATTCAATTCCACAAGTCTCAAAGTATCTTGGATCTACAAGATAATTGAACATGAAGTTGGGGTGAATGATATGACGAAGTGTCTTAGTTATTACTTTCTCTGTTTTAAAATATATCACGTTTTGCTGAGAAAAAATTGTTTCTAAATATATATCATTTACAAAGTTTAAGATTGCATTAATTACTCTTTTACCAATTATACTTTTGTCTTTTTAATTATATATATTGTAGCGAGAGAAGATAATAAAGTTATTAAGAGTGATTTTGGATGGAGAGATAATATTAAGATGATAAGAGTATTAATGAAAAAAAAAAAAACTAACAAATTTATTGAAATAATGAAAATTAATATTTATATTGGTCTGTGTAGCCCAACCTTAAATATCTTATTTTGAAACAGAGGGTTATTTGTGAATAAAATAATGCTTCTAAAGCTTAATGAAAATTTTACTGCACAAAACAAGATCTTGTGATATTGTTTAGTATTATATGTTGAGTGAATGGTAAAGAGTCAACAAGAGAAGTCCATGTTAGTGTTGTTGCAAACATGAGGATGCTATGGCTGTGATGAATAAGTGGCCATAAAATATTAGGCATAATCAATAATGAATAGATTAGGTAGAAAGCAAGGGTCAGATGCATGATAAAATGTTAGTATTGCTAAAATTGGTTTGACTGTGGGAGAAAACAATAGAAGTTCCAGTAAGGAGAGTTGGTCAGATGCATGATAGGCCCTATAGTTAGAGATAGAGAGGAACCAATAAAAACTTAGGAAAATCATTTGAAAAGGACACTAAATCGAATTTTGAGGTTTTGTTGTGATAGAACACTGGCGTCATTTTGAGGAGGGGGCACTCTGTTGGATTTGAATTGCATTTGCAGTATGTGACTAAAATGGGTTATATGTTAATGTGACTATTGTCCCATTACATCAAATAAGCATCTTTTTGAAATCCTTAAATGTTTGAGCTTTTACATATAATGATTTATTTATTAATGCAGGAAAGAAAAGAAAAAGAAGCCCTTGCTGCAGAAGGGGGGTGGACGGTTGTTGTACACCATAAAGGTCGAAAGAAAACTACCGATTCTGAAACTGGAATTGCTGTGGGTTCGGTTGCTCAAGCAGCTGTGGAGAATAAAATGACCAAAAAGAAACGTAAAGAAGTTGGTCTAGATTTCTACCGATTTCAAAAAAGAGAAGCACAGAGAAATGGTATTGTTTCGTTTTTTGAAATTGACTTAGAAGTTGCTTTCATCGTGTCACAAAACAAATGTCAGCTATTTGGAAGATTTCTATCAAAGATTGGAAAAAAATTGTACAGGCTGATGCCATTTGCTTTTCTTCTGTTTCTAATGAATTCATTAATACATAAAAAATGTAAACCGTAATGTTTTTCGTTTTTTATTCCCGTGCCTGAATATTTATTTGACTTTCCCTAACTTTTGTTGTTCTCAAGATTCACAACTGAAATCCTGTTTCTCTAAACACTAGCAAATTCTGTTTCTGGATGATGAAATGAATGTCTTGTTGCCCGTGGGTTGGACTTACTTGAGGAATTATTTGATTTTATGATGAAGTCTCATGCTTTACACCATATATTTTATCATAACTGCTGTTGTGTTCTAGATTTTAAACCCACTTTACTCCTCATGTTGTTTCTTAGCTCTAGTTGTTGTAAATTAAAACACAGGAACTCTCTAAATCGATTTTGATTATTTTTCTTAGTGGTCAAACTGATATAAACCATATTTGTTTTGTTTGCAGAGATCATGGCACTGCAGAGCAAATTTGAGGAGGATAAAAAACGTCTGCACCAAATGAGAGCTGCCAGGAAATTTAGACCTTATTAATCGATGTTTTTAGCCTAGGTTCACAGTAGTATTTATGGGGGAGTTGGGTTAGTTACGTATTGAAGTTGAATTATCCTATAGCTCTCAACTTAAATAATAATAATAAAAAAAATCATTTATCATTCCAATTTTGTGGAAGTATTTGTACATTAATGAAGGATGTAGTTATTTTATTCTGTTTTATATCACTTTGCAGGGTTGGGAATCCTGGTTGATCGATCCCTTTACCGTGACTGCATTTTGGTCTTTTTGGCAACATTGTTTTAAGCATAATGTCTTTATTTGTTAGATCGTGCAAATTCAAGATGCTTTAACTTAGAACAACTATCATTTGTCTACTGCATCTTGATTAAATTTACCTTTTTACTCCAGTTGAAGTTGCTTTTATGGATCGGTCTACTAATCCATATTAAATAGATGGAATATGCTTGTTTTGGTTTATTTTATTTAATCTATTAATTTTCCTGATCAAGATCCGGAGATGATAGATTAACAAGCTTTAAAAAAATAATAATTAAAAATATTATATTTTATAATATTATAATTTAAATAATTATTAATTAAATAATTTTTTTGAATTTATTTAATAAAAGTATTAATTAATGAATAAAAATTAAAAAATATTTATATAATTAAATAAGTATTTTTTTTAAATGTATATAAAAAATATATTGGTAGATTGATTTGTTAGTCTCTTCAAGCTATCAATTCTAATGAGATAATTTGAAATTTATAATATATTTTATTATGGTGAACTAATTCATTTGATCCGATTTTTGTGGATTATAGGTGAGATAGATTAAAATGAGATAAATTAATTTATTTTGCCTTTCATTTTTATATCTTATTTGACCAAAATTATCAAAGATATATTATTTGAAGTTTTTAAAGATGTTGATGAAGAAATTAAACCTTCATTTTATTTTCAAATAAAAAAAAAATCAATGTATTCCAACACATGCATACTGATGCCTTAATTATCTTGTAAGAGAGAGAGAAAGTTTGAGTTGGGTTGGGCAAGAAAGATTCAATATGATTATGAATTTTAAAAAAGAGATTATTGAGCAATGATAAAAATTATGTTTCATTTTTAAAATCAGAAATAAGGTAGAAGACTAATTATCAAGGAATGATAGAGTTGTAACTTTAATAGTATGTAAACACGTGCATAAACACAGGTTCAATTCGAATAGTATGTATTTTATTTTTTTCAGGTAAAAAATAAAAATAAAAACAAACTAATATTAGACATAATTATAATTGAATATAACACAGACAAGCACATTAAATAATGAAATTTACATAGTTATATTATTTATTAATCAGTTATATTATTTAACAAACAAGTATGTTCAGGAAATTCAAATGAAATATCGTGTATGGATTACTTGGACGAAGTATTATTTTTGAGTTACCCAAACGAAATCAACTATGATTATTTAGATAAAGTATAAAAAATAGTTATATATATATATATATATATATATATATATATATATATATATATATCATACACTCAGAAATTTTTTTTATATAAAATAATAGGTCTATATCTTCCCACTATTTGAAATAAATCATATCAGTAGATAAAGAATTTATGTTAATATAATTATAAATTACATATATTTAATTAAATAAATATACTACTATAAATATTATGAAGATGTAGATATTATGAAGTTAATTATATAAATAAAATTAATTAATTATACTATTATAAATACAAAAATATACTTAAAATAATATTGATATAAAATAATGGTTTAATGCTATATAACAAAATGAAGCTTCGAATTCAATGTATAAATTGATCTTAATTTTCAAAATCTAAAAGCATAGTTAAGTTCATAAAATATTTTTATTATTGTAGTTTACTTTTAAATCTAAGTATTACACAGAAGAGAGGAAGAGTATGGGAAAGAGAGAAATCCACTTTATATATAATTACGATTTAGTTTATTATTCATAACAATTTATTTATTTTTTATCTTTGTCATTCATACTTAATTTTTCTAGGTTTATTTTTTTTTAATTATAGTCTGTATTTTTATTTATTTTAACAGTTTTTTTAATATTTAGTCAACTATGACTATTCATTATATTTTATAGTTTTAATATTATTTAACTTAAAATAGAGATTTAAATTATTATATTACGGTAAATGTTAAATGATTAATTTTTTTAATATTTAATTAATATTATATTTTAAATAATGATTGAAATTATTATAAATAATATTATATTAAAAATATAATAATTAGCATTAATCTGATATAAATTATTATTTAAAATAATATGGATAAAAAAATCTACAAATTAGAATTTTTTTTTACAAACATATTAATACTCTTTTTTAGATTATAATATTTATATTTACATACTAACTTAGGAATATTTTTTCGGTATAAAACAAAACTCGATTCTAAAAACACAAAAATCCATATGTGCGATCTTATTTTATATTCTAATTTTAATTTTTTTTATCCAGAATAATTTATAAGTCATAAATTTTGTAATTTTTATTATTTTCTAGCGAGAATAATTTATAAGTCATAAAATTGGATAAGTAGTGTATATATTTGGTTAAAATATAATATTATGCAAGATATAAGGAATTAAATTAAAGATTGTTTTTAGATATTAAAGATATCATATTTTAAAAAATAAAAATAAAAGAGTTGTTCATTTATAAAAAAATATATTGTATCTTCAGTTCTAAATAATGATTAACTTAAAAAATGATTATTTTAAAGATTATCAATTCTTTTAAAAAGATTTATCATAGTAAGAATAAGTACAGTGTTTGTTAAAGCTAAAAATGATGGAATCATGTCTAAGAATAAGTACAGGTTCGCAGCACCGCCGTCCCAGGACCCTTCTCAACTGTCGCCGCAGCACCAGGCCCGCCTTGAAAATATCCGGACCTACCAGTGGCACCCAATGCTTAAGCTGAATTTGGATGGGAGGACGACGTCCGGGCCCATCTAGATAGCATCGGGTGGGGCTTCCTGCTGCAGCCACCACCTACACATGTGTACCCGCAAGCGGTACTGGAGTTCCTAGCCTCCGTCTCCTACTCTGAGGTCCCCTCCACGGTCCCGGGCCTACCACCCACCAGGATGGTGACCTATTTTATGGGTGGGCAATACCAGACCTCCACCCTCAAAGAATTCAACGTAACCATCGGGTTCGTCCGGCCCGAGGACGCCATGACCCAGGAATACCGTGAGGCCATCTGCTCACGGCCCACCAACCTCACCGCCGCCGAGATGTGGCATGAGTTCACGGGAGCCACCACACTACCCACGCTGATGAGGGGATCCGCTCTTCCCCCAGCACTCCGTATCTGCCACAAGCTGTTGGCAGGAACCATACATGGGAGGAAAGAGAGTCAGGGCAAAATATCCCTCCCTGACCTCTTCGTACTGTATTACATGAGCCAGAAGCGGCGCTGCAACCCCGGGTACTTCTTCCTGAAAGCCCTCAAGGACTTCGGGCACAGATCCACGGGGGCCGTCCTCATGGCTCCACTCATCACTCCCCTGGCAGAAAGTGTGGGGTGTCCTGGCCGAGAAGAGCTGGCCTCCAACCTGCGACCCGAATCTATCAACGGGTCGGTCCTGGTCAGCATGGGGATGCTGATTCGCAGAGGGACCCAGTTGGCCCTCCATCCCACATTGGATTTTGCATTGGAACTCCATGACGCAATGCAGGATCTGCCTACACCTCCCGACTTCCAACAGCAGCAACAGCAGCAGCAGTCGCCACGGTATGCGGACGACTTCGCTGGCATGCACCGCCGCCTGAGCGATCTATGCTAGCAGTTCGACCATATGACTGTGAGGCAAGAACAAATATCCCAGAGGCAAGAGCAACTATCCTAAAGGCAGGACGCCTTTGACACCCGACTGGGAGAAATGTACCAGCACCAACAGGACATGCGCCACGATTGGACGACATTCCAGCAAGAATACCGGGATGAAGTCCAAGAGCATGCGGACTTCCGGTACCACATGTACCAGCATTTCCCTCCCCAGGGATCGAGCCCAGAGGATAGCCCCTAGGGATAGTGCTTACAAAGATAGGGTTGTAATAAAATTCCCCCATAAATAAAATTTTATTTCACGCGTCTTTTTGCCATCTCTTGCAAAAGCCCGCGTAACAAAAAAAAAAAAACTTAAACTTAAAAAAGAAAAGGCATATGCTCAAGAAAAAAAGCCAAAATCCTAAATCGCGAGAAAAAAGAGATGAAACCGCGAGAAAAAGGCAGGATTAAGCCATCACCTCAACCAACAAAATTTTGACTACCAAGCAAGAGTCGAACAAAACCAAGACCCATCCGACCAACCAGCAAGGATCGGATAATCATCATCAAAAGAACAAAAACAAAGAACCCCCAGCAATCAACAAAGCTGGAAGAAACACCAACAACATCCCTGGCACAGTCCGGACGACTAGTCAAGAGGTCCAAGAACAATCAACCAAACACAGAAAGCACTCCCCAGAGAGACGGCGCATGAGCTAGAGTAGTAAGCCGCCACAATAGCCAAAGGATCAGCTACCGCAAAAAGGGGCATCCAGAGGCACCAAAACCAGATGAGGGTTCGTACTCGTCAACCAAGGGGTCAGCTACCGCGTCGAAGGAGCATCCTAAGTTTCAGATCGGCGCATGATCAGAATCAGTAAGCCGCCACCACAACTAAAGGATCAGCTACCGCAAGATGGAGCATCTGGAGGCTAAACACTAGATGGGGGTGTGTACTCATCGGGCCTTACAGAAGGGGGCTTACCAGACGGGGGTTCATACTCGTCAAACACCAGATGGGGGTGTGTACTCATCAGGCCTTACAGAAGGGGGCTTACCGGGCGGGGGTTCATACTCGTCAAACCAGATGAGGGTTCGTACTCATCAGCTGAAGGGGTCAGCTACCGCGTCAAAGGAGCATCCCAGAAGCGCACAACACAACATTTCCCCAGAGGATCACCCGCCGCAAAGACGG